TTACCAAACATTCAAAGAAGAACTAAAACTCATTTTCCTCAAACTATTTCAAAAAATTCAAGAAGAAGGAAGACTTCCAAACTCGTTTTATGAGGCCAGCATAATTCTAATTCCAAAACCAGAAAAAGACACTACAAAGAAAGAAAACTACATACCAATATCCCTGATGAACATAGATGCCAAAATCATGAACAAAATACTAGCAAATCTAATTCAGCAATACATCAAAAAAAGTATTCACAATGACCAAATGGGATTCATCCCAGGGATGCAAGTCTGGTACAATATTCGCAAATCCATAAATGTGATACACCACATAAATAAAATGAAGAATAAAAACCACATGATCATATCAATAGATGCTGAAAAAGCATTCGACAAAATCCAGCATCCATTTCTGATAAAAACACTCAGCAATCTGGAAGTAGAGGGATCATATCTCGACATAATAAAGGCCATATATGAAAGACCTACAGCCAACATCATACACAATGGGCAGAAACTAAAAGCATATCTCTTAAGAATAGGAACAAGACAAAGATGTCAACTTTCGCCACTCTTATTTAACATAGTACTGGAAGTCTAAGCCACAGCAATCCGACGGGAAGAAAAAATAAAAGGGATCCAAATTGGAAAGGAGGAAGTGAAACTGTCAGTATTTGCAGATGACATGATATTATACATAGAAAACCCTAAAGACTCCATCAAAAATCTACTAGACTTAAATTAATTTGGCAAAGTAGCAGGATACAAAATTAACATCAAGAAATCAACGGCATTCTTATACACCAATGATGAACTCACAGAAAGAGAAACTGAAAAAACAATTCCATTTAGCATCGCAGCAAAAAAAATTAAGATACCTAGGTATAAACTTAACCAAAGAAATAAAGGACCTATTTGCAGAAAACTATTGGACATTGAAGAAAGAATTAGAGGAAGACATAAAAAAGTGGAAGCACATACCTTGTTAATGGATTGGAAGAATTAACATCATTAAAATGTCCATATTACCCAAAGCAATCTATAGATTCAGTGCAATCCCCATCAAAATACCAACGACATATTTCACAGAACTAAAACAAATACTTCAAAAGTTCTTATAGAACTATAAAAGACCCCCAATAGCCACAGCAATCTTGAAAAAGAAGGACAAAGTAGGTGGGATCACAATTCCAGATATCAGGTTATACTACAAAGCTACTGTAATCAAAACAGCCTGGTACTGGCACAAGAACAGGCATAGAGACCAGTGGAAGAGAACAGAGAACCCAGAAATGGACCCAAGACATTATGCTCAATTAATATTTGACAAAGGAGGCAAGAGCATACAATGGAGTAAAGACAGCCTCTTTAATAAATGGTGTTGGGAAAATTGGACAGCTACATGCAAAAAAAAAGAAACTAGATCATCAACTTGCACCATACACAAAAATAAACTCAAAATGGATAAAAGACTTAAATGTGACCTGTGGATCCCTACAAATTCTAGAAGAAAATGTAGGCAACAAAATTTCGGACATCATATGCAGCAGAATTTTCACTGATACATCACCTAAGGCAACAGAAACAAAGGTAAAAATGAACACATGGGACTACATCAAACTAGAAGCTTCTGCACAGCAAAAGAAACAACTATCAAAATGGAAAGGCCAGCCCACTGTATGGGAGAGCATCATTGCCAATGATACATCAGATAAGGGGTTAATTTCCAAAATATATAGAGTACTCATACAACTCAACAAAAGGAAGATACCCCTGGCTGGTTTGGCTCAGCAGTTGGAGTGTTGGCCTGAGGACCAGAGAGTCCCGGGTTCAGTTCCCGCTGAGGGCACGTACCTCGGTTGCAGTTTGTCCCCGGCCCCGGTTGGGGTTGTGTGGGTGGCAGCTACTCTATGTGTCTTTCTCTCGTCGATGTTTCTCTCTCTCTTCCTCCCTCTCTTCCTCTAAAAAAAAAAAAAGGAAAAGAAAAAGAAGACAAAGAACCTAATTAAAAATGGGCAGAGGAGCCTAATAGACACCTCTCCAAACAGGACATACAAATGGCCAAGAGACATATGAAGATAGGCTCAACATCACTAATCATCAGAGAGATGCAAATTAAAACAACAATGAGGTATCACCTCACACCTGTCAGAATGGCCGCCATCAACAAATCATCAAACAAGTGCTGGCAAGGGTGTGGAGAAAAGGGGACTCTAATACACTGCTGGTGGGAATGCAGACTGGTGCAGTCACTATGGAAAACAATATGGTGTTACCTCAAAAAATTAAAAATTGAACTTCCATTTGACCCAGTGATCCCACTTCTAAGAATATACCCTAAGAAGCCTGAAACACCAATCAGAAAGAATATGTGTACCCCCATGTTCATAACAGCACTATTTATAATAGCTAAGATCTGGAGACAGCCCAAGTGTCCATCAGTAGATGAATGGATAAAAAAGCAGTGGTACATATACACAATGGAGTACTATGCAGCTGTAAGAAAGAAAGATCTTTTATCCTTTGAGACGACATGGAGGGACCTGGAAAGTATCCTAAGCGAAACAAGCCAAGCAGAAAAAGACAAATACCACATGATCTCACTTATTTGTGGAATATAATGAACATAACAGTCTGAGGAATAGGGTAGACCCAGAGACGTGGAAGTAGGGTACAGACTGACAACCCTCAGAAGAGGAGGTGGTGGGGGGAGGAAAGAAATAAACCACAGAACTTATATGCCTGTATGCATAACTGATGGACACGGACAACAAAGCCGGGGACGGGGGGGGGGGGGGTTGGGAAGGAGGGTGTCAATGGGGTAAAAAAGGAGAAACATCTGTAACAAAAATAAAATTAAAAAAAATAATAATACACTGGTAAATTAGGATTAAAATATTTATGTGATACATGAAAGTTACCATCTATTCTATCCAACCTTTACCGGGAAAGAAAAGCAATTACTTTATTTCAGATAAAAAATACTAAAAAAGAATACTTTTTTTAGAAGCCAGATATGGTTTAAAGGTTTTATTATCCATAATGACCTAAACTGTTTCTAAGACTCAGCAAAAAGTAAAAATGAAATCCAATTTCCCAATATACACTTGATTTTTTTAAACTTGGCTTTACATTTTCACCTTGTTTCTTACTAAAGTCCTCTTCCTTTCACTTTGGTCAATATATTTGGTTTCAAAGAGTGTAATTACTATAAAAGCAAGCTACCAATAAATATCATTCTATTTAAGATAATTAATTTAGGTTACCCAAAGTATCACGTTTTCAGACATAAGAATGTGTTCCACTGTACTCCTTTCCTAGAGTTGAACACAAGAAATGTGAATTCTGAGGAACTAAGACAGTATATATTTGACTTTCTGGTAAAGATCATGCTGCATATAATCATTACTGCCCAACTGGAAATTTCAAGTCGTTACAATATCCAAGGCTCCTTGATAAAAGTATAAATTGAGGTCTATTATGATCTTAATGCTAGTCAATGAAAAAAATGAGTTTCACAGCATTAACATTAATTGCCAAGCTAATCAAACTAATGAAATTCTGTCTATTTTCCTTGCATCTTATCTATGTTATTGTGTAACGTTCAAAGTGTTTATAAAACTCCAAACTGATTAAATAAGTCACTTGCTCAACCTTTGGAAATGTTAAAATGTGTTTGGGTGGAGAAGCCTGCATGATTTAACTTTTGTTTTTATTTTTCCCCTTTTCCAAAACTAAATAAAGACAAGTTGTCAAATATGAAAAAAAAATAATAATAATAATAATAATAATAAATGGAATTTACCAGCAAAAAAAAAAAATCATTGCCCTGGCCAGTTTTTGTTCAGTGGTTAGAGTGGCGGCCTGCAGACCAATGAGTCTCAGGTTCCATTCCGGTCAAGGGCACGTACCTCGGTTGTGGTTTGTCCCCAGCCCTGTTTGGGTAGTGTGGGAGGCAACCAGTCGATGTGGCTCTATCACATCGAAGTTTCTCTCTGTCTCTCTCTCCTTCCCTCCCTCCCACTCTATATGATGATAAATGGAAAAAATCCTCAGGTGAGGAATTTAAAAGAAAATAAAAAGAAACGATTGTTTTTGCAGGAAAGTTCTGTGTGGACTTTCATTCTTTTTCTTTTTAATCCTCACCCAAGCATATTTTTTTCCATTGCTTTTTAGAGATAGTGAGGATGAAGGAGAGAGGGAAACATCAATGTGAGAGAGACAAATGGATTGGTTGCCTCCTACACATGCCCAACCAGAGCAGGGGATCAAACCTGCAACCCAGGTACATGCCCTTGACTGGGAATTGAACCCGAGACCCTTCAGAGAACGGGCTGATGCTCTAACCACTGGGCCATGCCAGCCATGGCTGGACTTTAATTCTTTTTTTTTTTTAATCCTCACCTGAGGATTTTTTTTTTTTTTTTGCATTTATTTTCAGTAGGAGAGGGGGAGAGAGAGAGAAACATCATTGTGAGAGAGACACATCAAGTGGCTGCCACCTGCACAACCCCAACCAGGGCCAGGGACAAACTGCAACCAAGGTACGTGCCCTTAGTGGGAACCGAACCCGGGACTCTGATCCACGGGCTGACGCTCTGACTGCTGAGCCAAACCAGCCAGGGCATAATTCTTTATCAGTAGGATAGCCATAGAGATGCTGGAGTGCACACTTAGCATTCATTTTACATAGTTTATGAAACAAAGTGTATTTCTGTAGTCATGGAACATGATCCATGTTATTGGTCCTTTATCATAAACATGGGCATCTTGTGTTTAAGGAGATTCTTTCACAGCTAGAAGCCCTCAGTTGAGCCCACATGTTCAACTTCTGTGCTCCATGGTCATGTGGTTCCTGAAAGGAGCCAGGCCAAGCAGCTGACCTTGTCCAGGTCATAGCTACCTTCTTTTGGCAGAAGGGTTATTAGCCATAATTGCACACCCTCTTTTTCTCAGAAATATGGGGAAAGCGTGTATAGGTATATATACATATATTTATATCTTTTGTCTTCCAGTTCATGAACCAGTTCGCATTGCCTACGACAGGCCTCGGGGTCGCCCCATGTCCAAAAAGAAGGTGAGCGTGACCATTTGTGAGTCCTTGTATGACGTAGTCAGTTGGATTTTGTCAGCATCTCAAACCACACTGTGGCTTGTGATTAAGTTGTACTCATACTTCAGACTAGGTGTGAATGTACAAAGCACAACAAATGCCTTTTCTTTTCAGCAACTTTTTTTTTTCTCTCTTTTTTGATTTTAGAGAGAGAGGAAGGAAGAGGGAGAGATAGAAACATGATGAGAGAGAACATCGATTGGCCACCTCTGCATGCCCCCCACTGAGGATCAGGCCCACAACCTGGGCATGTGCCCCGAGTGGGAATCAAACCTGCAACCTCTTGGTGCATGGGTTGATGATCAACCACTGAGCCACACCAGCTGGGCCCTCCAGCAACTTTTGAGAACAAACTGTTTAGCTTTGTCCAAAGCACAGAAGGGTAGTCCATTTAACAGATAGTTCAGGCCTGATATGTGCAATGGAATGGATATCTCAGTCCTCAAGAGGTTCAGATTTACTGTTTTGTTTGTTTTTTGTTGTTTGTTTATTTGTTCTTTCTTAATCCTTACCTGAGGACATGCTTTAGAGAGAGAGAGAAACATCTATCAGTTGCCTTTCCTACATCTCCTGACTAAATCAAGCCCAAAACCCAGGTATATGCCCTGACCAGGAATCAAACCGTCAATCTTTTGGTGCACAGGACGATGCTTAACCAGCTACGCCACTCTGGCTGAGCTGTAATGTGATTTAAAAAGCAGTTAAGCATAGTGTATATGTTAATTATATGGTTGGAACCTCCTGTGCATCTGGCCCCATGTGCTCACCCTGAGGCAGTAGTGAGCAGGGCCAAAATGTGTGTGACTAGGTCATGGAGGGGTGTTATGGATACAGAGAAGCAGTTTGACAAGGAATACAGTGGGGTCGGAGTGTTATTTAAGCAGGAGGGCCTGGGAGAGGCCGCAGGGTAGTCATGGGTCAACAGGGAGCTCTTTGGGCCCGAGTGGAGTGATGAGGGGGTAGGTGAGGAAGTAGAGGTGGCAGGGATTCAGGTCACATAGACCTATAGACAGATGTCAGCACTGTGGCGCTTCTCTGGGAGAGGCCCTTAGGGATCTGTTGTGGGGTTTGGGTAGAAGATGTGTGGCCATTGTGATGGCTGTGTTGAAAGCAGCCTGTGGGGTAGGAGCTGGGCAGAGCCAAAGACGCGGGGGTGTTGAAGGTGGACCTGGTAGGCCTCACAGATGAATTGGATGTAGAACAGCGAAAGCCAAGAGTCCAGGGTTGATGGCCTGGGCAGTTAGGAGAATGGAGCTGCCATTGGCTGAACTAGGGAGCCCTTGTCAAGAGCAGGTTATCAGAAGAAGATGGAGGTGAATTCCAAATGGCCAGGTGAAGTCATCCAGGATGCATGGAGACATCACAGGTACCTAGAAGTCAGGGAGGTGAGTGGGGAGCCAGGAGGTCTCTGCTAGCGTCTCTGCTGGCAGTGAGGAAAATGCAGTGGCCACCAATGAGTCAAACCCGTTCCAAGTGCACCATATCAGTCTCAGCAGCCAGGTGAAGCATCATTATGACCCCAGCCTACAGAAGGAAGAAGTGCCTTCCTGCACCTGGAGCTTGTGGTCCAGCTGGTGGACTCGGTTTTAAGCTGAGCCAAAACTCAGGTGCCCATCTGGTGGCCTGGGTGAGGGGGTAGCCTAGTAAGGGGGCACCTAGGTTCGGGCTCAAGCTGGCCACCTAATTTTGGTGTGGAACTCCTGAGCCTCTTCCATCTATACATTTGTTATATGGGGCAGTCACACCTACCCTGCAAGTAGGAGATACCTTGAAGATGAAATGAAATGTATGTTAACTCCGTGTGCATCATGTGTCCTACAGACCAGTCTCTTCTTGGGGCAATGACAGGCAGGGAGGAAGTCTTGCCTGGAGCTCTTTGTGCACATCTCAGCCCAAGGAGACTGGACAGAGTGACTTTTAGACACAGATTTAATGCTTATGAGATCTGTCCAGGCTGAGTTGATCCCTGTTTTTATTGCGCCCACCAAGCGCTTTCCTGAAGGGTGGGCAGGCCTGCTATTTGGGGACTCATGGCCAGTCTTTGCCCTGCCTTCCCCAGCATCTATTCAGGTGTTCCTTGCCCTGCCTTCCCCAGCATCTATTCAGCTGTTCTTTTCTGGGCCTGGAAGGTCGTGGGACAGGCACCCCTTGTCATCTCAGTGGCAGGTTCCATCTCCTCTATTCTGAGATCAGTTCCTGATGGTAGGTGGCACCCCTAGGGCTAGCAGCTCCTGCCTATTGTTCTCCTGGCTTTCCCCTGGCCTTCAGCCTTTGCATGTCTCTTCTGCACTGCTCTTTGTCCCTTCTTCCTGCCCCAGCCAACAACAAGCTCCTCCTTCCTTTGCATCCCTCCTTTAATGCCCAGCAGATGGACTTCGGCCCATCATCCTGCCAAGATCCCCTCACCTCCTGGCTCCCCCAGATTCATTCAGTAACTCATGCACAAACTTATATGCACACACACGCTGCTTCATACCTCGGAGTACTTCCCTTCCTGTCACTGGACTCTCAGTGCCTCTCTAGGTTGTTTTGTCCCCTCTATGGTGAGAGGTGGGGAAGTGACCATGGCTTGATCATGAGTGTCTGGGGAGTCAGGGGTCATCAGTGCTGGACCATGCTGGAGACCCTTACTCTGGACACTTTGATGCAACCCACATGCTACACTCTGCTCTCTCCTCAGAAACCCAAGGACTTTGACTTCGCCCAGCAAAAACTGACTGACAAGAACCTGGGGTTCCAGATGCTGCAGAAGATGGGCTGGAAGGAAGGCCATGGCCTGGGCTCCTGTGGGAAGGGCATCAGGGAGCCCGTTGGCATGTACGCAGCAGGCACTTAGGGCTGGGGAGGTGTAGAGTTGTGCCTTTGCCTAGAAGAAGAGGTTTTCTTTGGGATTCTGGTCCTAAGTCCTTTTACCTGCAGCCTAATTCTTTTTTCCTTTTTTTTTTTTTAATCCTCACCTGAGGATATTTTTCTGTTTATCTTCAAAAAGAATAGGAGGGAGAAAAAGGGAGAGAGAGAGAGAAACATTGACATGAGAGGGACACTTTGACTGGTTGCCTCCCACATAACTCCAACCAGGGCCAGGGACAAACCACAACCAAGGTATGTGCCCTTGACTGGAATCAAACCCACGACTCATTGGTCTGTGGGCTGATGTTCTACCGCTGAGCCAAACCAGCCAGGGCTGTGGCCTAATTCTTAATTCCCCTCACGGTGAACATGGTCTAAAGTTGGCAGTTTTTTGGTGTGTTGTGCCGGTGTGTCGGGGTGGGGGGGTGTTTGTTTTGTTTTTTTGTGTTTAACAAAGGGAGTCTTGCCCTGGTCGGTTTGGCTCAGTGGTTAGAGCATCGGCCTGCGGTCCAGAGAGACCCAGGTTCGGTTCCCGCTAAGGGCGCGTACCTCGGTTGCAGTTTGTCCCCGGCCCTGGTTGGTTGTGCGGATGGCGGCCACTCGATGTGTCCCTTTTACATCAATGTTTCTCTCTCCCTCCCTCTCCCTTTTTCTCCCTCCTGCTCTATCTGAACAAAAAATGGAAAAATGTCCTTGGGTGAGGATTAAAAAAAAACAAAGGGAGCCTTCAGATGAGATGAGAAGCAGACGTTTCCATAGGCAAGTGTTCACTCAGCTCCTTGCTGTGCTTGTGCAGACTATTTAAATGGTTTCTTGGCCCCTGGCATTTTGGCCACATTGTCATAAAAGCTGAGTGATGATTCTGGGTACTTACACTAATTAGCATTTTTCCTTTTCTGGGAACCCATATGCAAACCTTCCAGGGTAGAACCTGATTTAGCCCATTAACATCCAGCAGGCATTTATTTCATTTATAACTGAGTTTAGCACCTGTGGGGGGAGGGGCTCTCTACTGTAATCTGGGCTCCTGAGCACCTGCACAGGTGAGTGCCCCTGTTCCTTTGGGGATCACATCTGCACTTTCCCTCTCCTTTGCCATCACTGTGATACTTCCCACATACTTCTGTCCATTCTGACTGCTCAAGCCATTTCATGTCTTGGTGGCCAGGTCTGGGTGCAGGTGTGGCTAACTCTCCATTTTACTCCTTAGGGGTACGGCCTCCGAAGGGGAGGGGTTGGGCGCTGACGGGCAGGAGCACAAGGAAGACACGTTTGACATCTTCCGTCAGAGGATGATGCAGATGTACAGACACAAACGGGCCAACAAATAGGTATGTGCACGAGCTGGCACGTTGGGCATCCTGCCTAAGCTGGCATTTTGATATGCAGCGATGGTTCCTCCAGAAAAGTTGGTATTCCTGCACCCCAAAACCAGACATGAGAATACCACAAAAAAAAAAATTCTTTGAGGGAAACACAAAGTCTTTGGATGTGGATGTTGTCCCCCCTCTCACCTTCCAGGTTTGGCTGAAGGAGCGAGTACCACACTAGCCAACCACAGCTGCGTTTAGCCTGCTTGCAGGGCCTCAGCACAGGGCTCCCAGGCTGCCACAGGAGTGGCCCTGCGTCCCACAAGTGTAAGGGTGACTTGAAAGCTGGCCATAGAGGACGATTTCCCTCTCTGAGGGTCTTCAAATCCTTTTCCTTCTGAAGGGCCTTGGCCCTATGAATGTCATCTTTCTCCTCTTTAATTTCTTTCCCCACTTGTAATTTCCAACTCAGTTTTGAACAAAATCATTCTCTCCCTAAATAGATGAAAACCACTGGTGAGAAAGATAAGCCTTGAAGCAACAATTACTCTAAAAACGCCACCTCTGCCCCGGATCCACCCTGGAACCAGAGCCCAAGTCAGTTCGGTGTGTACATGAAAAACAAATGTCTCTGCAGTTTTTGGTGCAGAGGTTATGCTGGCTTTTCTTTTTCTTAAAGAAAAAAGAATGCACCGTTTTCAGTCTGCTTTTGCCTTTCCTCCTCTTCCAAGTGCTTTGGGCAACAAGTCCCCTCTGAGTCTTTCCTGGTTCCCTCAGAAGATAGTGCCACCCTGGCATTTTGCTCTCCAGAAGTGTTCAGTTGGCAAACTTGATGCTGAAATGATTACCAATTGTGTCTTCTCATTGTTTCCAGAATTTAAATGGATGTAATCTGTACTCTGGCTCCACAGCCTGCCGGTGGGAGCACTGAAGCTGTGAACAAGTGGAGATACTTGATTCCATGAATGTGTTATTTAGAGTCTCATCTCTTAAGTGCATCCCAAGAGACTTAAAATTTAGCAACAGTATAATACAGCTGTATTTGATGGGAACTAGTCACTACACTGATGAAACTTCCCCCAAATTTATACTTCTTTTTAGAATCCACAAAGAAAGCTACAGTTTGTTTTTTCTTTTTAAACCACATGTGAAGTCTCCTACAAAGGGGTAGAGGTAAAGTCTTCAACACTCTTCATTTTCTGCATGTGTGGCAGTTGAAATGTTTTGTTAGGGCCCTTTTACAGAATAGGAAAGATCCTCTTGGGGTGGGCCTCACAGCTGTTTGCTATTTCAAGCCACCCCTTCCAGCTTCTCCCAGTGCTTTGCAACTACATGTTAAATTCTCAGACTGTAGTATTCTTAACGCTTCTTCCTAAAACAGCAGTATTGAAGTTTTAAATATGTGCTAAAATCTAGACAACTTGGTCGTACTGATAGTACAAGCTTGAGGAACACAGCAGTGAGTTACCTTGTCAGCTGTTTTTATTGGCTGTCAAGAAATTTTTGTTTGAGTAGAGGAGGTGGTGGGGCTGGATAATAAAAAAAGAAAGGAAGGGAGGGAGGGAGGGAGGAAGGAAGGAAGGAAGGAAGGGAGGGAGGGAGGGAGGGAGGGAGGGAGGGAGGGAAGGAAGGAAAGAAGGAAGGAAAGAAGGAAGGAAAGAAAGAGAAAGAGAAGGAAGGAAGGAAGGAAGGAAGGAAGGAAGGGAGGGAGGGAAGGAAAGAAGGAAGGAAAGAAAGAGAAAGAAGGAAGGAAGGAAGGAAGGAAGGAAGGAAGGAAGGAAGGAAGGAAGGAAGGAAGGAAGGAAGGAAGGAAGGAAAGAAAAGAAAAGGAAAGGAAAGGAAAGAAAAATCCTTGCTTTCTCAGAGCACAGGCCTCCCAGCTGTAGTCCTACTTCTCTGGTTCTGTCTTATCTGTCTGTCCTGCCATTCACCATGGCATCTCACCTGCCTGGTGCCATCTCTCTTCATGTCAGGCGTAGTCCCCAGATCTCTGCCTGCTTCTGATCACTTCTATTGCTTTGGTATCCAGCAGATCTTTATGGCTATGGCAACGCTAGTGGTCCTTCAGCAGAGGTGAACCAGCCTGCAAGGGTGGTGTGGTTTGGGAGAACCACACCTATGGAAGTTCATCTACTCCTCTCTTTTTTAATCCTTCCATCAGCCTTCCATGTTGACTGTGAGTTAGGCCACAAGATGGAACTCTGAGAACAGTGCCTTGGTCACCCATGGTACCTGTTGGTCAAAGTATCCGTTGGCCTGAATGAGACGTGCATCCCCAGCACATTTTCTCACTCTCTCTTTGAGTGTAGCCCTGAATGTCATTTTCGCTCGGTCCTAGTGTGTTCATTCTTGGCTTTCTCCACTTTTATTCACAAGTAAAATGCTTTAGGAATTCTCAGGATGTGAGTCCTGTCCCCACAGCCTCCTGCCACTACTCCTCCTGGGGACATCCCGCTTTGAGCTGACACTGTTTGTGAGCCTTTGACAAATATTAAAGGAAACGCCTACTTCTTGAGCCTGCAAAGTCTTCTGAGCACTTAAGTGACACTTCTCCTGTGGAGTCAACATTGAGGCATTGCAGGTGCCAGGATGGAGCATGGTAGTGTGTCCTGTGCCAGCTGCTGGCCTGGGACCAGTGTGTGCTGGCCCTCTGTGCCACCTTGCTCTCTCAGCAAAGGCTACTCTGCGGGGAATTTGTGAGTGCGTGTGCGGGTGTGTGGCCTTGTCAAAGTCACAGCGTCTTTTCTGTCATTCTAGTTTCAGGGTCTCTCCCGTGAGGACAACAGGCATCCGGAAAGTGCTAACTCGCCACTTTGGGTGCTTACTGTCTCTGGCTTGTTTCCATCACTGGAAATCAAATAGAGAATGTTAGTGTTTTTGATCCTTGGTAAAACCTAGAAGACGTTTGTGATGTTACAAAATGAAAGTTTTGTTTCTGTTTTTGTTTTTAAAATCTAAGAAGTTGTGAATGTTAATCATTTAGCAGTTGCAATAAATGTAGAGGAACCCAATCTTCCATGGTCTCCATTGATGTATTATTAAATCAGGCCAGTTGGGGTTGCATGGTAGATGTGGTGCCTACATGGAACCAAATCATAAATACCCTACCTTGGGGCATGTCCTCTGCCTGCCAGGGTGGGAGCCTGGTCGATAACCAGGAAAGCCCAGAAGGTGCCGAGAGCAGGTGGTGATCAGGGCCCAGCACAGGGGGCCCTGGCAGGCTCTCTTCAGGGGTGGAGAGTAGTGCTGGGAACAAAAACCTGCCTTTGAGAGGGTGTTGTGACTTGGGAGCCCTGCCTTAGCTGCCTATAACTGCCTGCCCCCCTCAAGGTCTTACCTGCTCCCAGGGTTCCAGCTGCCAGAGATAGACCAAATCACAGCTAGGCCTTCCCCTGACCAAGAAGTCAACCTGTGGGTATCTTCAAAGCTCTCTGCTCTTCTTATGTGCTGTCAGCCTGTGTCTGATTCTTCTACCAGCTGTCACTGGCCCTTCGGGTGGGAGAGGGCAAACATCACAGCAGGTGGGTGAGCCCAGCCCATATGGGCCTGCAGGGACCTCCACCTGAGCTTGGTGGGGCAGGCAGGAGCCAGGGTACCAGGGAAACTGGAAAGGGTTGGGGTGAGGGGTACAAGGGTGGCTGTGGGCAGATTAGAGGGGAACAGATGAGACAAGGCTCCTTAGGAAGCTGATATGGGACCCCTAAGCCTGCCTTCTCCCCACTGTGTCCTGGAGGACACTCAGGAATGGTGGGGGTGCATTTGACCATGATGGGAGCTACTGTCAGCCTAGAACCTCTCACACATTTGCCTTCATCTTCGCCAGATCCCGGAGGTAGGTGTGTCATGTGGGCCTTAGTGCCACACCGAGGGTCACCTGAAACCAACTGCCACCCACCAACTCTGGGAGATGAGGTAGGGGATGAGCAGCAGTTGGAATTGCTCTCCAGTAGCCCCCATCAGCTCCCTTTTCACCAGCTGACTGGTGAAGATCACTTAGACTTAGAGGAAGACATGGTATGGGGGTCTCCAGCCTGAGACATGACCCAGGCTTTGACCCCAGGTTGGCCATTCCACCTCAGTCCTGTTTCCCCTCTGCCATCTGGCAAGGATTTCTTCCAGTTCAGAAGGTAAAATTTTCTCTGCTACCTTGTAATTTAGGGCTAACTGGGACCTAAATATGCCACCATTCCCCCTTCTTTTCAGCTGCCCCTCAAAGCATTCTGGATGCCCAGGACCCTGTGAGAAGCAGAGGGTGCTGCCTGAGAAACTCTAGTCTTCAGTTTCGTTTTGAAATTTTTTTTTTGGTTTTAACATTTTGGGGGAGGGAGGGCCACAGGAAGGAGCTCACAGTTTCTTTAGTCATTCCAACTAGGGCCCTAGGGTTCTTGGGGATGGCTGGGCATGTCGGGCATGTTTCCATCATCTCTGACTGGCACTGGGTAGTTGTAGGGTATAACCTGGTTGATCAAGGCCACATGCTTGGTGTAGGGACTGAAGTGGGGCAGAATTATACCAAGGCCTCTGATGGTGAAGGACTCGACCAGCACCGGCTCCTTGACCCAGGTGTTCTTGAGGAAGGCAGCGAGTCTCCTGGCCATCTTGGTCTTGGCAGCTGCAGGCTCCAATGTTTAGTTTTTTTTAATCCTCACCTGAGATATTTTCCATTTATCTTCAGATAGAGTGGAAGGGAGAGAGAGAAACATCTATTTGAGAGACACATTGACTGGTTGCCTCCCACACAACCTGACCAGGGCCAGGTACCAAACCACAAATGAGGTACGTGCCTTGACTGGAATTGAACCTGCGACTCTGATCCACAGGATGATGCTCTAACCACTGAGCAACACCGGCCAGGGCTCCATTGTTTAGTTTTGACCAGCTGGTGTGGCTCAGTGGTTGGGCGTCAACCCATGCACCAATGTTTAATTTTAAAACAGGCCTTTGTTGTCTGGCCAGGTAGCAGATAAATCAGTTGGTTAGAGCGTCCTGATACACCAAGTTTGCAGGTTTGATCCCCGGTCAGGGCATATACAAGAATACAAGAATCAATCAATGAGTGCATGGATAGGTGGAGCAACAAATCGATGTTTCTCACTCTCTAAAATTAATCAATAAATAATTAAAGAAAAAAAACCAGGTCTTTGTTTTGCATGCATGCATGCACATGTACCCACATGTGCAGCGTACATATTATGTGCATGGCAGAAAGTTTTTAAAGAAAAGCAACAGCCTGGCCAGTGTGGCTCAGTGATTGAGCATCAACCCATGTGCCAAGGAGTTGCTGGTTCAATTCCCATTCAGGGTACGTGCCCAGGTTGTGGGCCTGATCCCTAGTGTAGGGCATGCAGGAGATGGCCAGTTGATATTTCTGTCTCTCCCTTCCTCTCTCCCTCTAATCAATAAAGAAAAAACAAAAACAAAAAAACTTTCCCAATGACACTTTGAGCCACCTGCTTGAAATTTCTCTTTGCGTGTACTTTCTTTTTACCTGCCTAATAAATCTCTGGCGAGTTGGGGGGGGGGGGGTTCCCAAAAAATTTAACTGTATTTTGCAACAAACTGTTCTTTATCTCACACATGTTCTCAAGGATTGGTCCCTACACCCTACAATACTTTTATTTGTGAATAAAGTCTTAGAGATGTCATTTCTGGGACCAAGGAGCTCTCCCTCCACCGCATGCCTGTGCAATGCAACTTGGGAAGGGGAGGGATCCTGTCAACACTCCTGTTTTCCCAAGAGGACATGGTGGAGGCCATGGACCCTGAGAAGCACTTCACCACAAACCACAGCCTCAAACATGTCCCTGAGCTCTACTTGGACATGGCCTGGCTGCTACCTCTCTCTGCTTCCCCCACACCTCCCCTCTCTGACCCTGTCGAACCCAAACCTTGACAGTCCTGGGTGACAGAGCTCCAAGAGGAAGCTGTGATTTCCTCTTCTATCTAATGACTGCTGGCACCAACCCATAAGGTGATCGTGAGGGCTGGAGATGCCTTCCCTGTGGCTGTGGGTTGGTGGGACTCTAAGCCTCCATTTCTTCCTGTGAAATGGGGCAGCGGGCTGGCAAGGTTAAATACAATAATCCAGGACTACTCTCTCTCTCTCTTTTTTTCTTTTAATATGTTTTTATTGATTTTTTAGAGAGAGAAACATCCATGTGAGAGAGATACATCATCCGGCTGCCTCCTACATGCCCCCTACTGGGGATTGAGCCCACAACCCAGGCATGTGCCCTGACTGGGAATCAAACCAGGACCTCTCAGTCCATGGGACGACGCTCAATCCCCTGAGCCACACCGACTGAGCCAGGACTGCTCTTAGAGAGTTTAGAGGATCTGGTCTTGTTATTGATCCTTCCACGTTCCACCCTCCTGGGCCTCAATTTCCTTACCTGTGTAGCAGACCTTGTGCATGAGGATCCCCAAGCCCTGTTAACAGTACACCCTACGTACGCTTCTCCCACCACCTCAAAGATGGGGCTGCATCCCCAATTTG